GACTTCCTTGAAATTTAAGTCCGCCTTATGACTTAAGGGACCTCGCGATAGTGTGTAGGAGTTGCTATTGTGTCTGGACTATATGCTGCATTTTCACGGTCCAAATCCCGCTTGGAAGGCGAATGAGATCTATTTAAAGTGGAACCTGTAGTCAGCCTTGGATGAAAATACCTTATGTGGCCTAAGGCTATGTAAAATTAAATGTAAACGTAAGGCCTACTGACATCATTGTGGGAAACTTCAACTATCAGTCTTTCATCACATTAAATGAAATAGAGTGAACACAGCTTTTAATCCCACCTACTGGTAGTCTCGAAAAACCTACATATAAAACGAGTCCTAAAAAATAATACATCTCTAACACATTCCGTACATTTATATCCCGAATTGATCGGTATCATAAAAACAGGGACTCTTATTAATTATTTAATTCCTACTTTAAGCCCTACTAATTTAGCTATGGTTTCTAAAATTAAAATAATTCGTGATTACCTAGGTCGCTTTTAAGTACTGCTTTATAACCGGCCACATTCTTAATCACCCTGACCTCAAATAATAGAGTATAACTGTCGTGCTGAAACTCCATTGAAAATCATATGCTGTCTTCAAACCGATTCAAAATGATAAGAAACTACCATAAATTACTTTTTAATGCTGCCAGATCATCAAATTAATCACCCACACATGATTAATTTGCGCGGCTAGCGCCCAAGTTTCAATTAAGTCTATATCGTAATTTTGACCATCCGAAGTCTCAAAAACTAACAATACACTTTATTCCTCTGTTTTTTCTTTGCGAACTGCTTCCACTCTTATTCGTTGCTATTGGCTGAAATATAATCGAAATCCTATTCGCCTGAACTGAAGAACATTTTCTTAAACATTTTTTCGAGTAATCAAGGAATAAAACGATAAAGTTCCAAGAAGAAAGAAGGTATGTCCTTAATAGTATATCTTACGAGTTCAGTGAAATGAGAGGCTTATCATATTCATTAATCCAATTTCAACTCTCATCAGAGAAATATTAGAATATTGTATTATTTCTGCGATAATTAAAATAAGCTATGTGGCAAGCTTTTTTTCCGGCACGAAGTTGCCAGTAATATGCATCAAAACAATCTGCTCTTCTTTTAATCTCCAGTTAAATACAAATTTTTTTTTTGATCCTTTGAAATTTTACTAGAACACAAAGAATTTACCTCTTTTGCATCCAGCCAAAGTTATAAATTGTAGACTACTCATAAAATCCTTATTACATGGCATTTAACTTCTAAAATTGTTTAGATGGCATGGCCGTCAGATTATATATCGCTTATAATTAATCTCTCTGACTCTGGTGCTTTGATTGTGATATGAATTTTTATTTCGAAGTATAAGTTAGTTGGAAGAAATTCGTAAAATGGTCTCACAGAAAATTAAGTGAGTATTGCTGAGGAGTGAAGTTTGTTGGATTGTGCGAATAAATCCTCGC